ACCCCTACATAACTGGTTAAACAATAACCAATCAATGGGTTATTGTTTCAGGGCATCCAAACGGTATACAGTAACCCAGTACGGTCGAGTGGGGAATTTTCGAGCTACATGAATTTTTTTTCGACATCACTTTCTTCATTTCATTAGTAAATCTTCCCTTGTGCAAATATATTTTTGGACTTCGTCTCCTAATACTTTTCTAACTGTGTCACTTAAACAAAAATTACAAATGGTTATATAACAGATGGATAAAAAGGACAGTTAGAAGTGGCCACACCAAAAAGAAAGCAATGGGACAAGACAGGGACTCTGCCACCAGCAGGTTTTTCCAATGAACCAAGCTGCATAAAATTGAACTTATCAAGCGCTGACGAACCGAAGAAATAGATTCCAGTAGTAAAGAAAGTTTCTAGCGAAGTAGTGGAGGAAGAAGGTTGATCGTACGCCTGATGTCACCTTTGTGGATAACTGTTCCGTGACTGTTTTATGCGGTAGTCAGTGAGTCCATCCACCATAATTAGACGGATATGAGACAGACTCAGAAGCCAATCTCTCTGATAATGAGGACAAGGTCGAAATGCCAATGTTACCAGATCTGGACGACAACACTACGTCCGTACTTCGCCAGCAATGTACATGGTGAGAGTGTTCATCAGGCGAATGAAAATACTGAAAGTTAACAAAATTGAGCTGCCAAAATTGCGTGTTGGGTTTATTTTATTATGAAAAAACCAGGGTTTAAGCGGGCGCCACTCTATTTATGTAGATAGGTTCAAAATGGTCCAAAAACGAACTCTTTAGTTTGATAGTTTACATGAACTTTGGACGCCCCTCTATGGCCCTCCTATAGTGCTGTATACTATTTTCGCTCTCTTCATTCTATCAATCTGTTCCCGTTGACACAAATGTGGTAGTTTTGATTGACGGCGTGTGCCACATGAAAAGCGTGTTTTTTAAAAGTTTTATCGATACTTTGTGGTTGTTTTTAGTAAGAAACAGTTATTCCACTCGCGCTTGTTGGATATGAGATGATTATAGCCAACTCCTGTGAGCGCGTGTTAAAGAGAAGTTGCCTAACAGCTCTGGTGCTAGTGGAAACAGCATTGCTTGGCCTCCAAATTTTAAAAAATCCGGAAAGTGCAGACCCTCCAGAGCTGTTGCTTCACCGCTCAGTTACCCGCCTACGGGTTACAGTAACTTTACCCGGCAACTTCAAATCTTAGTGACAGCCTGAATTTTGCACTATTTTTCCGGCATAATGTTAGATTCTTTTGCCAGGATGTTATGCTCAAACTTTCTAAAAGCAGCTCCGATGAGCTCAATCTATTGCTGGTTTTCAGTGTCACGCCATTCAAATAGATCAAAATAAAAATCAAAACCATTCGACAAGTCCAGAATCTGGGAAATGAAAGGAGGTACATATACAAAGACCCTCGCCAAGATCAGGTCAGACGAATATTTCGTATACGAGATATCCGAAGAAACGTTTTACCCAAACTTATAGAGATTTCTATGGAGACGCCATGCATATATGCATGCAGGTACTCACCTGGATGAGCTCCAACATGGCGGACGGAAATCAACAGAAACATCTGTTACCGAGTTTTGTTACAAAAGCGTGAATTTATTAGTAGTATTAGTCGTCAGTTTGCCGCAACCTTTAAACTCAGCGGTCTTACCCATGGGCTCAAGTACTTTATATCATAGTCACGAAATGACGTCATCAAAAATGTTCGTCGGGTGCTCGGGTCATCTTCGGGTCTTATTCGTTATCCATCCATAGATGATCGGAACTTATATAGGTGTACGAAGGGTTCAGCTTACACTTGTGGGAGGGTGTCCCTGCGCAGTGTAGTACGCATGCGCAGTAATGAAACTTGCGTAAAACGTTTCAAAACGTTTCCTAAATCATTTCTTAAGAATTGGCAGGGTTCATAAAGTGTGTAGGACACATGTGCAGTGTAGTACGCATTACATACTATAAGGATCTCATGTTAGAGTAAAATAGTCACATCATTTTATTACATTTCAAATCACAAGTTTACATTCAAGGTTTACAGGGTTTTAAGATATCTTTGGCAATGGGCACACAACAAATCAAAGTCTCCGATGGTATTACTGTAAATGATAGTCTCCTCTGTTTCTCTCTTCTTGGTTCGAATACGTTGTTTCAGGTCTTCAATCTGTTTCTCTCTAATCTGTAAAAGAGTTCGTATCATTGCCTAGACATGTTCAATTCCCTAAGGACTTTATCTTTTCTGTCGCATACGTGTCATAGTAAGAAATAGCTTTTCCACAGACAGCGTCATATACTTGTTTGTTCCATTCAAACAAGAACGAGTTTAACGTTTCAAAGTTTAGATCGTGATTGGAGATGTCTTCTACAGTGAGGTCATGCATAAACTTTTCATACCCTGGAACCTTGGAAGTGTCTATCGCTTGTAGTAGTTGGTCGGTTGGACCAGCTCAATTAGTGAGTCTGATACGTTCCGCTTTGTAAGTAAGTTTTATCACAGACGAAATGGGCGGATTTGTACCAGACATTTCCACTACGTCCCTAGCGACTGTGTTAGGTATTTATGAATAAAAAGAAACTTTGTGTGTGATATTTTCTGTGTCTTGGGAAATACAAACATGAGCTGCGATGTCAAATTAGCACGCAGACAGGGGTGGAAAAAATTAATTAATTAGTGAAACCCTGTTTCAGTCAGCTAGTTTGCATGTAAATTCGCTGACTCAGCAAAAACAAAGTCAGGTGGCCTTGAACATCCTTTGCGTAAGCGCGTCAGCGACGCCGTTTCAACCGGTTTCAACCAGTTTTTCATCACGTGGTGACCTTGTGTAACCTTGACCTAAACCCAAATTTAGTTATACTGTTCACCTTGACCTTACACAGAATATGACTCATTCGCGTTGCTTGAAGCGTCATTCGGTTTCAATCGTCATGATGAACACAACGCCGTGGACTGATGCCGATAAAGATGAACTAATGCATGATTCTTTCGAAATCAATGATTCTTTGGGTGAAAGTCAAGCAAATAGGATAGACGGTATGTTTCTATCTATAATTGGATCAGCTAACTAAAGCATTCATGTTCACTTGCAATAAGCGGGAATTCATTGCCTAAACAGCCTTCTGTTCGTTTGTATGAATTATCGAAAGATAAACGAAAATGTAGTTTTAGAAACGTAAATGATTCGTGAAGAGAGTAAAGCGAAAATCAGTCATTTGTATAGTTTTATCTGCAAAGCATTCGCAAGTTATGCTTATTTCTGCTAAAGACTTAATGTAGTTTTACCCGTCCATCAACCTAATCATCCTGTCATCATCCTGTCATCAACCTATATCAACCTGTCATTAAGCTGTCATATAGTAAAAAAAGTTAGGACGCGTAAAAAGTCTGCATTTAAGATTACGCGATTTGTTTTGTACTTTGTAACCGCTAAAACACACTAAAATTATAATATGTGAACAAAAACAAATCAGTCTGTTCCTCTCTCTTTTTCAGAGGAATGGACTGCGAGTCAAGGGGAGAGGTTAATGGATCCCGCGGTTGAGCCTGAGTTGTTAAGTGCGGCGAGACGTGGTGATCAACAGGGAGGTAATCCTCTCTTTCGTATCAACCCACAAAGAATTGGTTCCCCTCGGGGTTTTCGCAACAGGGCGGCAGCGCAACATGTTGTTCGTTTTCGTTTGGAGCAACTGCGAGCGCCCAATGGTGAATTTCAAGGAGAAGCGGTGTCTGAGGCCTTTAGACAAGGTTTGGTTCAGTTTGTTGAGGACAATCAAATTGGTCCTGTCAAAGATTATTCGCTATGGATGCCCATTCATCACAGCACCGGTTCCCATACGTGGACCAGTTGTCCACCTCTCCCCCTTACAGATTGGTTGAATGGAAGTGAGATGGGTCGCGCGTGGTTAGACCGTCTGGCCAAACAGTTGAATTCATCCGAGAGTTTTGATGCCACTAGTGGGGAATTTTACGCTGAGCTTTTGTTTTTCAAAAATCGCAGTCGGGGTAGTGGTTGGAAGAAAGGAAATCCAGGCTACATGTCCTATGAGCAAATGTTGAAGAAGAAAAAACGTATTATTACGATCAAAAACAAAGATGAACTTTGTGCGGCACGTGCAATTGTGACCATGAAAGCGCTAGCAGATGACGATCCGCATTATCAAGAACTTCGAGATGGACGGTGGCATCAAGGAATGTTAGCGAAAAAATTGCACAGGGAGGTTGGTGTGCCTGAGGGACCATGTGGCCTTCAAGAGATCAAACAGATTCAGCAGCAAATGCCTCAATATCCAATCCAAGTGTTTGAAGCCATGCTAATCATCCGAAGAAAATTTACCTCCTTAAAGTGGAAAACCATTTCCACGGATTGCGAAGTGTCCCTGCCCTGCTGAACCGCAGTTACTACTGCAATCACTGTGAAAAAGGCTATGATCATGAGGATTTTTCACATCACAACTGTTTTGGGCAAAATTGCAGTGCCTGCAAGAGAACAAACAAGACATGTCCTAATTTTCACCTAAAGATTTCTATTGCAGTGTCTGTAATCGCTACTTCTATGGGCAAAATTGTTTTGAAACACACAAGCAAAGCAAGCAAGGCAAGAGTGTGTGTGGTCAAGTCAGGAAATGCGCTCAGTGTTGTAAAGAGTACAAGGTCCAAAAGAAGAAAAAACATCGCTGTTATCAGTATACCTGCAGCAATTGTAAAGAGGAGAAAGATATTAATCACCGCTGCTATATTCAGCTGTATGAAGAGAAAGAAAACACGTCAGGTCTTCGAGCCGTAGGAGAAAACGAGGATGAAGAAGAAGAAGAAGAGGAGGAAGAGGAATCTGCGAAAGTAGAACCCCTTGTCTGCGTGATTGACTTTGAATGTGGTACAGATCAAAACCAGGATTTTGAAGAGTATCGTGTTGGATGGCGGTATATAGGGCTTGAAGGAAGTTATAGGGAGGCAGGCACGGCGCGTCAGTTGTTAGAGAATGTGATGGCAAACACGGTGACGGAGGATGGAAAGGAAAGGAAAGTGTATGTGTATGCGCACAATATGAGAGGATTTGATTCGTCGTTTATTTTGACCGTGTTGTATAAGATGGGTTATAAGGCCGTGAAGGTGCTTAGTCAAGAGGCTAAATTTTTGTCCTTGAATGTAATAATATGGTGTTCAGGGATTCCCTCAATTTCTTTCACATGGCCTTAGAGAAATTGCCTGCCACCTTTAATTTGCAAGAGATGTACAAGGGGTTCTTTGCGTGTTCATGGATTAGGCCTGAGAAATATGACTACGTTGGAGAGTACGCCCCTGTGGAAGACTACCACCCGGAACAGATGACTGAGAAACGAAGAAAAGAGTTCCTGACCTGGCACAAGGAAAAAGTCGAAAGCAATGCGGTCTTTGACTTTCAGAAAGAACTCTCGGCCTATCTACGCAGCGATGTCGAGGTTCCCAATGGTTTGTTGGCCGCTTTCTCGGAGGAAATGGTGGAGTTGACCGGCATAGATCTTGTCACGCAAGACTATCGCCAGCACTGCGTTCCTGGTGTGGAGGAAAATGTTTCTCGAAAGAAATTTACTTGCCCTCGAACCAAGAAATGGATGGCGGCAACATCAGACGAATCAGAGCAGAGAGGCCATCGAGTGGCTTGAATATGAAAATTCCAAGATTGGAGGTCGCATACAAGTAAGTTGTGTAAAAAGTGTGCATGTTAAAAAGTTTAGTTGCAGTATTTTACCGCAATTAAGGTTGAGTGAAATGTTTTGGTCTGTGCATTGTTCATTGCACGCTTTAAGTCAAAAATAACAAAGAAATGTATGGGAAACTTGCAGATTTGCATTTAAGAAAATGAACTTGCAGTGTTTTTCCTCCTTTAAGGTTTGGTGACATGTTTGGTACCATGCAACAGCATATGCACGCAAAAATTATAATCTGTGAACCTCTTAGAAAACCAAAACAAACCTTCGTTAGTCGCTAACAGTGTCTGTTTTTCCTATATTTCTCAGCATTAACGAAACTCAATGGACGGTGAGGCCCGTGTTCTGACTCCTGCCCAGATCTACACCGTGGATGGGTACGATGCCGAGACAAAGACAGTCTACGAGTATCACGGATGCTTTTTTCACGGTTGCAAGAAGTGCTTTCCGATTCAGAGGCAGAAAACACACAACTGTCATCCAGACAGGACCATTGAAGAAACGTACGAGGCGACCCTAAAGAGAACCGCGATACTCCAAGCAGCAGGGTATACAGTGATTGAAAAGTGGGGGTGTGAATTCAACCATGATAAGAAAACTGATCCTGAACTGCAGACCTTTCTCGAATCCTTCGAGATGGTGCCACCCCTAGAGCCACGAGACGCGTTTTTTGGCGGACGAACGGGGGCCACCAAGCATAAACAAATATGGCACCTATCCAGTGGGGTTTCCGGAATGTCATTTCAACCCCGAAGATCAAAACATCTTCAACTACTTTGGCGTCGCTCAAGTCGACATTGTCCCACCCGAGCGACTCTTTCACCCCGTCTTCCCAGTCCGAGAAGCCGGAAAACTCACCTTTCCTCTCTGCAGGTCCTGTGTCTAAGAAGAAATGCAGAAACCGCTCCTTGAACGCAGCAATATGTGTGGTCATACCAAAGAACAGCGCATGTTAAGAGGTACCTGGTGTACACCAGAAACTCAGAAGGCGGTTGAGAAAGGCTATGAACTTATCAAGATTCACGAAGTATTTCACTTCAAACCAGAGAACAGACGCACAGGACTGTTTGCTGAATATGTGAACAAATGGTTGAAGTTAAAACAAGAAAGCGCTGGCTGGCAGGAAAAGTTACCGCTGGGACCGTATTTGGGTCAGTTTACAGACGAACTGGGAGGAGACACCATTGTTGAATTCGTGAGTGGTGGGGCCAAAAACTACGGTTATCTGACGAAGAAAGGCAAGACAGAATGCAAGGTCCGTGGTTTCACACTAAACTACAAAACCCTGCAAACCTTAAACTACGAAACCATGAAGAACAACATCTTGAACGAACTGGACGACCCATTGGAAGAGCAACGCAAGATCCCGATCACCATTCCTGACTACTTAGATCGGGACCAAGTGACCAAGAAGATCAAGATCACCAAGCGCTTCAAGAACTATGGTCTTGTTTTTGACAAACGTGTCATTGACCCCACCACTCGCGTATCAACCCCCTACGGTTACAGTTGGTTTGGAGCGGAAGTTGATTTGTTGTTATCTTTGTAGTTATTTTCTCTTTCAACTTAGGTTTTTTCTTTGGGGGTAAGGTTGCATGGTGGCGCCAACCCCCCCAAAAGAATATTTGCATGCTTTTAGTTTAGCTTTTGAATAATCTAGGAATTGTAACGTTTCATCGAGAGGGAGGTGAAATGACGCATTAAAGTCACTTGCGAGTCTTAAAAAACCGTGTGGTCTCTGATTATAAATAGATGGGAAGGTCTTAACTGGGTAAACGCTTTGCTCAGACATCATGTCGAATATTTACTTAACCCTGGTGAGTGATGTCACTTCCAAGTATACTGGTAATGTGGCCAATCAATTTAAAGTCAAACCCAGTTAATGTTACCGGGACAAACATATAAAAAGCATATGGACAAACGTTACCTATCAGTTCTTTTGAAACCATGGGCGGTGTCATAAGTCGTCTTTGTGGAAACTCATCGCCTACTTTGGCTTTAAGTGATATATGTCAGAGGATGCGTTGTTTAGTTGCATGGTGTGGCAGTGAAGTACACATCGATTTGAGAAATGCATCAGACGAGTACCAACAGGAGGCCCCAGAAGAACATGAAGAAGAGGAGCAGCAACCAGAAGAACTGACTTTTAGAGAAACTGTACTATGAACTAGACCGTCCTTCAGCTTTGGGTGGTGTGGACAAACTATATCGGGCAGCCCGTCGATATGGAGTAACTCGCTCTCAAGTACTTCAATGGTTGCAATTACAACCCGGTTACACACTACACAAACCTGCAAGAAAACACTTTCGTCGCAACAGAGTAATTGTTTTTGGGATAGATTCTCAGTAGCAAGCTGATTTAGTGGACTTGCAAAGTCTCAGTCAATGGAACCGTGGTTACAAGTATTTGTTGACTTGTATCGATGTGCTTTCTAAGTTTGCGTGGGTGGTTCCTCTCAAGACTAAAACCGGCAAGGAGCTTGTGGCAGCATTCAAGGACATATTTCGACGAGGGCGTAAACCTGAGAAGTTGCAAACAGATGCTGGAACTGAATTCAAAAACAGAGCTTTTCAAACATTTCTTAAAGAGGAAAACGTGCACTTTTTTGTGACATACAACGAAACCAAAGCCCAAGTGGTTGAGCGCTTCAACAGGACTCTCAGGCAATTAATGTGGACAATGTTTACCACGACCAGTTCCTACCATTATTTGGACAAACTAGGATGGTTTCGTCAACGGAAATTACAGAGTATACACTGAAGCATCAAAATGAAACCGGCCGATGTCAACGAGTCTAATGAACATGCTGTTTGGAGAACCTTGTACGGTAAACAATCAGCCCCCACCAAGTATAAATTCAAGGTAGGAGATCAAGTCAAGATCAGTAAGCACAAGCGAATCTTTCAGAAAGGTTATCTGCCATCCTGGACGGAGGAGACATTTACCATTGCCCAAAGAATACTCCGAGATCCTCCAGGGTATCGCCTAAAGGAAGCAGACGGTGATTTCATTCAAGGCACCTTTTATGAGCCAGAGCTACAGAAAGTACTAGAAAAGCCAGATCACTTGTTTCGCATTGAAAAAATTTTAAAGTATCGTGGAAAAGGTGCTTCCAAAGAAGCGTTGGTTCATTGGAAAGGCTGGCCCAAGAAATACGATAGTTGGATTCCTTATAAGCAGCTGGTGTCCTTACAGTAAACATGAAACAGGATGGAGATTTTTACCTTATACTTCCCAGTAATGCCAATACGAACTTATTTCCTACCAACTCAGCTTCGTATTAGCGTCTTGCATTACCTTGTCAAATTCATTTACCAGACGAAGAAGATTGGAAAGTTGGACTTCATCATATCATTTATCCATTCTCTTGGTTTGAGGTCCCTCACAAACGCAATCATCCCCATCTCATGTTGCGGCGATTCAGAAGTCAGCACATTGAAAAGTTCACCTTACCTGTTGGACGGTATCGAACAGCATTAGATGTGGTAGAAGGATTGTTTCAATGCATGAACAAAGCCCCCACACCCTGGCACTTGAAAACAGCTATCGATAATGAGTGGAACATAACAATCACATCTCAAGACGTGTGGATAATGGTGACAGCCCCTGTTGCCCAAGCACTTGGATGGATAAACAGTGAAAACAAACCTCGTCAAGTAGACACGATGGGTGTAAAAATGAATCCCTCATTGGTCAATGATTTTGGATATACGTGGTGTGTGCTGCCCATCCGTAATTCTATCACTTTTCGGGGTACCCATGAAATACCTCAGACAGTCTCTCTTTGTCGCTGTAAACACAGAGTAGTCCAAGTACAAACGAATCTGATCGAGCCTTGGCAGGTCGGTGACACACGACTGTCTTTGTTACACGAAATGGCACCACACGGTTCATTCCGACAGACAGTTATGGAGCAGCCTGAACACATAATCTATCTACCCCTGAGAACCAAGACATTTCAAACGATTGACATCTATTTAACAAGTGGATGTGGTCAGCCTATATCATTTCTAGGTGGAACAGTGAACGTTGTACTACATTTTCGGAGAAGAACAAGATGAGTAGTAGCTTTTACGTCGTGGTAGCCAGTGATGCAAGCATAGATCAGTATCCTGAGAACACACCTTCCAGTTTCAAAATGCAACTCCCAAGTCAACTGCATTTGAGTGAGGATTGGGAAGTGGCCATGACGCATATTATTTACCCACATACTTAGGAAAATATACACAGCAATCAGGTGTCCTATCTTTTACGTTACAATGGTGAAAAGGAATGGACCTTACCGATATATTTACCCCGAGACACATACAGAACAGTCGAGGATTTGATCAGCGGTATGGTGACAGGATAAGAAAGTGCCTTTCCAGACATTTATATCAAGAGTGGAAAGAAGATCAAACTTCTTGGAGGCAAAGAATGTTTCTACATTCACGAAAAAGTCAAATATTACTATGAATTGTACTTACCCACAGGATTTCAAGTGATGTTACCCAAGAACCTGGCTCGAGCTTTAGGGTATTTGAACCATCGAGATCTCGTACCAGCCCTTTATCGCACCAGTAGTCCTACATCTGTTCAACTAAATAAGAACCAGAGTGTGACCCTTACAGCTACCACCACCACGATTCGACGAAACGACGATTTGGTATGGGGAATGTTAAGCAAGCATTTGTTTCAAACCATGTATGTCTACTCTGACCTAATAGAGTCCTTAGTGGTAGGGGAGGTACAAGCCAATCTGCTGCGCATGATATTAAAGCGCGGTCAGCCGGGTGAAATGGTAGCAGACGAAATCAAACGCCCTACCTATCATTGATTGCGAACATCTATTTTCTCCTTGGTGGAAATGAATATAAGAAGCGACACAGGTCGACTGATATCATTTGCGTCTGTTGCTGTCAGAGTAACATTACACTTTCGACGAAGAACAATTCTGTAAGATGCTTCTACCAATGAACCATCAATTTTATCCTTATCAGCGCTATGTGATTCCTATTGTGCAACCAGGTAAAGAAGATATTAGTATCTATGGAGGAACACATCCGTATGGTCAAGGTGGAAATGGATTGAGAGGAATGTTTCGTTCTCTCTTTCGAACAGCAACACCTCTTCTCAAGACCGCTGCAAAGAAAGTGGGAAAACGGTTACTGTCCACTGGATTAGAGACAGGAGTGCAAATTGCTCAAGATGTTATGAATGGGCAATCACTGAAGAAAGCAGCAAAAACGAGAGCAAAAGCCGCCGGAAAACCATTTTTCACTGAGGCCTTTCGGGACATGACGCAACAACAAGAGCGTGGAAAAGTATATAAACGCAAACGAAAGGCGAATTCTGTCAGTACAGGACAAGTCAAGAAAGCGAGAACATCGGCACCGTTCAAGACTATTTTTGACTGAGTATGGCTTCAGCACATCCCTTCTCTGCTCCAGGAGTTACCTCCAGTTTGCAGTTATTCGAAGTGCCGGTCACCGATGTTTCTATTGTCAAAAGTAAATGGGTGGACTATGAACCAATTCAGAGTGGCACCAATCCTATAGGATTTGTGATCAAACCTCTGTCCGATTACATCGACATTAACAAGACTGAACTTCGTCTGGTGGTGAAAGTTACAAAACGAAACAGAGGAGAGACAGGAGATGGGAAGAAATATACGTTGATCAACAACGCTCTTCATTCTATCATCAAACAGTTCACTATCAAGATCAATGAAACCCTTGTCACAGAACAATCAGACACACAAGCCTACAATGCTTATATCAAGACCTTGCTTAACTTTACTGATCAGGCCAAGAAATCTTACTTGACAAAAGCGTTGTACTACAAAGACACTGCTGGGCATATGGATGAGGTGGATAATACAGCAGATCGAAATTTGGGTCTAAAAAAGAGAGGTTCTTTTACCACTGGAGATGCTGAAGTTGGAATGGTT